TGTGTTCTCTGTGTGTATGCGTTCGTGTGCGTCTCTGTGTGTCTCTGTGTCTGTGTCACTGTGTGTCTGTGTCTCTGTGTATCTCTGTCTTTGTGTCTCTGTGTGTGTTATCTGTGTGTGTATGCATTCGTGTGTGTCTCTGTGTGTCTCTGTGTCTGTGTGTGTCACTGTGTGTCTGTGTGTGTCTCTGTGTGTATTTCTGTCTTTGTGTCTCTGTGTGTGTTCTCTGTGTGTGTATGCGTTCGTGTGCGTCTCTGTGTGTCTCTGTGTCTGTGTCTCTGTGTGTCTTTGTGTGTCTGTGTGTATTTCTGTTTTTGTGTCTCTGTGTGTGTTATCTGTGTGTGTCTGTGTGTCTCTATGTCTCTGTCTCTGTGTCTTTGTGTCACTGTGTGTCTCTGTGCATGTGTCTGTGTGTATTTCTGTCTTTGTGTCTCTGTGTGTTATCCGTGTGTGTATGCATTCGTGTGCATCTCTGTGTGTCTGTGTCTCTGTGTGTCTGTGTCTCACTGTGTGTCTCTGTGTGTCTCTGTGTGTATTTCTGTCTTTGTGTCTCTGTGTGTGTTATCTGTGTGTGTATGCATACATGTGTGTCTCTGTGTGTCTCTGTGTCTGTGTGTCTGTGTCACTGTGTGTCTGTGTGTGTCTCTGTGTGTGTCTGTGTGCGTCTGTGTGTATTTCTGTCTTTGTGTTTCTGTGTATGTTATCTATGTGTGTCTCTGTGTTTCTCTGTGTGTCTCTGTGTGTCTCTGTGTCTGTGTCTCTGTGTGTCACTGTGTGTCTGTGTGTGTCTCTGTGTGTATTTCTGTCTTTGTGTCTCTGTGTGTGTATGCGCTCATGTGTGTCTCTGTGTGTCTGTGTCTGTGTGTCTGTGTCACTGTGTGTCTTGTGTCTCTGTGTGTGTCTCTGTGTGTATTTCTTTGTGTCTCTGTGTGTGTATGCGTTCGTGTGTGTCTCTGTGTCTGTGTGTCTGTGTCACTGTGTGTCTCTGTGTGTCTCTGTGTGTCTCTGTGTGTGCGTCTGTGTGTATTTCTGTCTTTGTGTCTCTGTGTGTGTTATCTGTGTGTGTCTGTGTGTGTCTGTGTGTGTCTCTGTGTCTGTGTCTCTGTGTGTCACTGTGTGTCACTGTGTGTCTCTGTGTGTCTCTGTGTGTCTCTGTGTGTGCGTCTGTGTGTATTTCTGTCTTTGTGTCTCTGTGTGTGTTATCTGTGTGTGTCTGTGTGTGTCTCTGTGTGTATTTCTGTCTTTGTGTCACTGTGTGTCACTGTGTGTCACTGTGTGTCTCTGTGTCTCTGTGTGTCTCTTTGTGTGCGTCTGTGTGTATTTCTGTCTTTGTGTCTCTGTGTGTGTTATCTGTGTGTGTCTGTGTGTTTCTCTGTGTGTCTCTGTGTCTGTGTCTCTGTGTGTCACTGTGTGTCTCTGTGTGTCTCTGTGTGTCTCTGTGTGTGCGTCTGTGTGTATTTCTGTCTTTGTGTCTCTGTGTGTGTTATCTGTGTGTGTCTGTGTGTGTCTGTGTGTGTCTCTGTGTCTGTGTCTCTGTGTGTCACTGTGTGTCACTGTGTGTCTCTGTGTGTCTCTGTGTGTCTCTTTGTGTGCGTCTGTGTGTATTTCTGTCTTTGTGTCTCTGTGTGTGTTATCTGTGTGTGTCTGTGTGTTTCTCTGTGTGTCTCTGTGTCTGTGTCTCTGTGTGTCACTGTGTGTCTCTGTGTGTCTCTGTGTGTCTCTGTGTGTCTCTGTGTGTCTCTGTGTGTGCGTCTGTGTGTATTTCTGTCTTTGTGTCTCTGTGTCTGTTATCTGTGTGTGTCTGTGTGTGTCTGTGTGTGTCTCTGTGTCTGTGTCTCTGTGTGTCACTGTGTGTCACTGTGTGTCTCTGTGTGTCTCTGTGTGTCTCTGTGTGTGCGTCTGTGTGTATTTCTGTCTTTGTGTCTCTGTGTGTGTTATCTGTGTGTGTCTGTGTGTGTCTGTGTGTGTTTCTGTGTGTCTCTGTGTGTCTCTTTGTGTGCGTCTGTGTGTATTTCTGTCTTTGTGTCTCTGTGTGTGTTATCTGTGTGTGTCTGTGTGTTTCTCTGTGTGTCTCTGTGTCTGTGTGTTTCTCTGTGTGTCTCTGTGTGTCTCTGTGTGTCTCTGTGTGTCTCTGTGTGTGCATCTGTGTGTATTTCTGTCTTTGTGTCTCTGTGTGTGTTATCTGTGTGTGTCTGTGTGTTTCTCTGTGTGTCTCTGTGTCTGTGTCTCTGTGTGTCTCTGTGTGTCTCTGTGTGTCTCTGTGTGTCTCTGTGTGTGCATCTGTGTGTATTTCTGTCTTTGTATCTCTGTGTGTGTTATCTGTGTGTGTCTGTGTGTTTCTCTGTGTGTCTCTGTGTCTGTGTCTCTGTGTGTCACTGTGTGTCACTGTGTGTCTCTGTGTGTGTCTGTGTGTATTTCTGTCTTTGTGTCTCTGTGTGTGTGTTATCTTTGTGAGTATGCGTTCGTATGCGTCTCTGTGTGTCTCTGTGTCTGTGTCTCTGTGTGTCACTGTGTGTCTGTGTGTGTCTGTGTGTGTGTGGAAGTGGAGGAGGCGCTGCTGAGTGAACGCAATCAGAAGGGGAAGGGACAGATGCAGAGAGATCGCTCACAGCTGACAGACACACAACCAGGGGGGCAGCAAAGGGCCTAACACAACCCGCCCGGGGGAAAACGGGTCCACTCCGCTGAGTGGATGCGGGTGCGAGTGCGGGTGCGGGTGCGGGTGCGGGGAGGGGAGAATTCATTCACGGACAATGAGCTGGAGTGGAAGGCGGGTTGTTGCGAGGGCGTTGTGGCCCCTGGGGTGGGCTGGGTTGCAGGTCTCAGGGGCGTCTGCGACAATCAGACACAGTACCTCAAGCACAAACAACACAAACACGGAAGTCTCAAGGTTGCGCACTCGCCTCGAGCCTCCATCTAGCAGCCTGGGTGTGGGGGCCGCACAGCCAGTTGCCCCCTGACCCCGAGGGTCCCCCGGCCCCACTCTGCCAGATGCCACACACCGTCCCCCGCACAAACAGCCTCTCTGGGTATGGGGACGGGATAACACACACACAGAGACACAAAGACAGAAATACACACAGACACACGCACGGAGACACACACAGACACACCGAGACACACACACAGAGATGCACACGAACGCATACACACACAGATAACACACAGAGACACAAAGACAGAAATACACACAGAGACACGCACAGAGACACACACAGACACACAGTGACACACAGACATACAGAGACACAGACACAGAGACACACAGAGATGCACACGAACGCATATACACACAGATAACACACACAGAGACACAAAGACAGAAATACACAGACACACACAGACACACACAGACACACAGTGACACACAGACACACAGTGACAGACACAGAGACACACAGAGATGCACACGAACGCATACACACACAGATAACTCACACAGAGACACAAAGACAGAAATACACACAGAGACACGCACAGAGACACATACAGACACACAGTGACACACAGACACACAGAGACACAGACACAGAGACACACAGAGATGCACACGAACGCATACACACACAGATAACTCACACAGAGACACAAAGACAGAAATACACACAGACACAGACACACACAGAGAGACACACAGACACACACAGTGACACAAACACAGACACAGAGACACACAGACACAGACACACAGAGGCACACACAGATGCACACTGATGCACACACACAGGGACACCACACAGAGACACAAAGACATACATACACACAGAGACACACACAGAGAGACAGACACACAGAGATACACACACAGACAGACACACACACACAGACAGACACACACACATAGCGACACATTGAGACATACAGAGACACACACGATACACCCCCACCCCCACCCCTCCACACAGAGACATACAAAGACACACAAAGACAGATACACACACAAACACACATATCATCGACACACAGACACACAGATGCACAGAGACACACAAAGATACACACACATAGACACACCCCACACACCTACCACATACAAAACCACACAGAAACACATACAGAGACACACTCCCACACCCACCACACCCAAAAGCACACAACCATACACACATAGACAACAGACACACACAGAAACACACAGATACAGAGACGGACACACACACACACCCCTACACACAGACACACACAGAGATAGACATACACCACATGTACACAGACACAGGCAGACACACACCTGCCAACCACAGTCCGCAAGTATCTGTGTCCCTGATCCACCACCTTCTTGACGAATACACAGACAGACAGCACACACACACACACACACACACACACACACACACACACACACGCCACCCGCAATTGCAAGCCGCTCTCTCATGGGTCCACCAGCTTCTTGATGAATACACAGACAGACACACATACACACATACAGATATACACAGACACATACATACAGACACACAAACAGACACAGTGACACATAGAGACACAAAGAGACACACACGATACACCCTCACACCCCCCACAGAGACACACAAAGACACACAAAGACAGACACACACAAAAACACACATATTGTCGATACACAGGCACACACAGATGCACAGAGACCCACAAAGACACACACACACACAGACACACCCCACACAGCCACCACATACAAAACCACACAGAGACACACACATAGACACACCCCCACACACAAAAACACAGAGACATACACACATAGAAAACAGACACACACAGATACAGAGACATACACACGGGGACACACACAAACCCTACACATAGACACACACAGAGGTAGACAGACACACACCACATATACACAGACACACACACGCAGACACACACCTGCCAACCACAGTCCGCAAGTATCTGTGTCCCTGGTCCACCACCTTCTTGGCAAATACACAGAGAGACAACACACACACACACACACACACACACACACACACACACACACACCCGCGACCTGCAGCCGGAAGCCGCCCTCTCCTCACCGGTCCACCAGCTTCTTGGCGAAGCCGAAGTCGGTGAGCTTGATGTGCCCGTCGCGGTCGAGCAGGATGTTCTCGGGCTTGAGGTCGCGGTAGACGATGGCGTTGGCGTGCAGGTACTCGATGGCGCAGACGATCTCGGCCGAGTAGAAGAGGCCCGTGTGGCTGGAGAAGCGGCCGCGGTTCCGCAGGTAGCTGAAGAGCTCCCCGCCGGGCACAAACTCCATCAGCATGTAGAGGAACCGCTCATCGTGCGACGTCCAGAACCTGGAGGGTGGGCAAGGAGCAGCGGGGCTGAATCTGGCTCTGTGTCTGTGTGTGTATTGGGGGGGGGAGGAACACATGGTGGCAAGCCCAGAGGCTGGGAACGTGGGGGCTGCGTGGAGTGGACCACCCTGACCTCTCTGCAGGGCACAGTGCAGTTCCCCCATTTCTGCAGTGCTGCATCGTGCAGTTCCCCCATGGCTGCAGTGCCGCATCGTGCAGTTCCCCCATTTCTGCAGTGCTGCATCATGCAGTTTCCCCATGGCTGCAGTGCCACATCATGCAGTGCCCCCATTGTGCTGCAGTGCCGCATCATGCAGTTCCCCCATGGCTGCAGTGCCACATCGTGCAGTGCCCCCATGGCTGCAGTGCCACATCATGCAGTTCCCCCATTTCTGCAGTGCCGCATCATGCAGTGCCCAATGGATGCAGTGCCACATCATGCAGCTCCCCCATTTCTGCAGTGCCGCATCATGCAGTTCCCCCATGGCTGCAGTGCCACATCATGCAGTGCCCCCATGGCTGCAGTGCCACATCATGCAGTTCCCCCATTTCTGCAGTGTCACATCCTGCAGTGCCTCCATGGCTGTGTGCCGCATCAAGCAGTGTCCCATGGCTGCAGTGCCACACTGTGCAGTGCCCCCATGGCTGCATGCTGCATCGTGCAGTGCCCCATGGTTGCAGTGCCCCCATGGCTGCAGTGCCACATCATGCAGTTTCCCCCATATCTGCAGTGCCACATCATGCAGTGACCCCATGGCTGCAGCGCCACATCGTGCAGTTCCCCCATGGCTTCAGTGCCACATCGTGCAGTTCCCTCATCTCTGCAGTGACACGTCTGAAGCGCGGAAGAAAGGGAAGGGAAACGGGGCTGTAGAGAGAGCTGAAGGCTGCAGATACTTAGCCCGGCTGCACCTCGGGCTCCTTCTGTCCCTGCTCCCTGCCCCCCAGCGGAGCTGATGCAGGTCCAAGGGCCCCCCGGGCGCTGGTCAGGCTCACCCCTGACACTGCAGGGACGAAGCACAGCTGAGCCCTGACAGTCTGGCAGTGAACATGCAGCCTGGTGCGCTGAAAACTACCCAGGGAGCTTCGGGGGGCACTGCAGTTCCTGAGGGAGGGAGGTGGGTGCGCAGGGGAGAGGCAGAGAACAGGAGCAAGGCCCCTAGGGAACTGTGATGTACTGGACATCACTGGACTTGCACGGGGTTTAAAAAAACAACACGAAACAGAGAGGTTGGGCAGAGTGTTGGACGCTTGCCCTGCACACAGCTGACCCGGGTTCCAGACCTCTGGACCTCACCATGGGTAAGCACTGAGCACTGAGCCAGGAGTCAGCCCTGAGAACTGAGTCAGGTGTGAGCCCTGAGCATACAGCGGAGTCATCCCTGAGCACAGAGCTGGGAGTCAGTCCTGAGAACCGAGTCAGGAGTGAGCTCTGAGCATACAGCGGAGTCATCCCTGAGCACAGAGCTAGGAGTCAGTTCTGAGAACTGAGTCAGGAGTGAGCCCTGAGCACAGAACTGGGAGTGAGCCCTGAGCACAGAGCCTGGAGTCAGCGCTGAGCACAGAGCTGGGATTTAGCCCCGAGCACAGAGCTGGGAGTCAGTCCTGAGCACAGAGCCTGGAGTCAGCCCTGAGCACAGAGCCGGGCGTCCAGGGTTTACTGCGAGGCCACTTGCCACCCAAGTGTGCGACCTCCGTTTGTCTGCCCCTGCGACTCACTGTGAACACAGTGAAAAAGAAAGTGGGAAAATAAGTCTAAAAGAATCAAACATGGAGATTTATTTTGGAATTGGGGCCACACCCATTGCGGTGCTCAGGGGCTGACTCCAAACACAGTGCTCAGGGGAGCCCATGGGAGGCCGGGGATGGAGTGCAGCTCAGGCATGCGCAAGCCTCGAGCCTCACTCACCCTATTATCCCTCCAGACCGAATTTTTATTAATTTATTATTATTATTATTATTATTATTATTATTTTAATGGAATCAGCATGAGACACACAGTTACGAGGTTGTTCCCGGTTGGTTTTCAGTCGTATAATATTCCAACCTGGGAAGGAGGGAGGAAGGGAGGGAGGGAGGGAGGGAGGAAGAGAGACAAGGGGAAGGATGAAGGAAGGGAGGGAGGGAGAAAGTGAGAGAAAAGGAGGAGAGAGAAAAAGAGGGAGGGAAGGAGAAAGAGGGAGAGATGGAGAAATGGGGAGAGCGGGAGGGAAGGAGGCGGAGGGTTCAGGCAGAGAGACAGAGACAGAGACGGAGAGACAGAGACAGAGGGGGGGAGAGAGGGAGACAGAGACAAACAGAGAGAGGCAGAGACAGAGAGGGAGAGAGAGACATAGACAGAGAGACAGAGACAGAGAGAGGCAGAGACAAAGAGAGGAAAGGGAGAACGAGAGAGAGGGAGACAGGGAGAGACAGAGAGAGACAGAGAGAGACAGAGAGAGGCAGAGACAGAGAGGGAGAGACAAAGAGAGACAGAGACAGAGAGAGGAAAGAGAGAATGAGAGAGAGAGGGAGACAGGGAGAGACAGAGAGAGGCAGAGACAGAGAGAGGCAGAGACAGAGAGGGAGAGACAAAGAGAGACAGAGACAGAGAGAGGAAAGAGAGAATGAGAGAGAGAGGGAGACAGAGAGAGACAGAGAGAGGCAGAGACAGAGAGAGGCAGAGACAAAGAGAGGAAAGGGAGAACGAGAGAGAGAGAGAGGGAGACAGGAAGAGACAGAGAGAGGCAGAGACAGAGAGAGGAAAGGGAGAACGAGAGACAGAGGGAGAGAGGGAGACAGGGAGAGACAGAGACAGAGAGGCAGAGACAGAGAGGGAGAGACAGAGAGAGACAGAGACAGAGAGAGGAAAGAGAGAACGAGAGAGAGAGGGAGACAGGGAGAGACAGAGAGAGACAGAGAGAGACAGAGAGAGGCAGAGACAGAGAGAGGCAGAGACAAAGAGAGGAAAGGGAGAACGAGAGAGAGAGGAAGACAGGAAGAGACAGAGACAGAGAGGCAGAGACAGAGAGGGAGAGAGAGGGAGGGAGAGAGACAGAGACAGAGAGAGGCAGAGACAGAGACAGAGGAAAGGGAGAACGAGAGAGAGGGAGACAGGGAGAGACATAGACAGAGAGACAGAGACAGAGGCAGAGGCAGAGACAGAGGAAAGGGAGAACGAGAGAGAGAGAGGGAGAGAGGGAGAGAGGGAGAGAGAGAGCACGCCCCAAACCCGATCCTAATACCATTCGTCTGGGACTGCCGGAGCACCGAGGGGCAAGTCCATCTCCTGGAACCCAGGACCCACGGAGCAGAGACCCGGAATGCAGTTCCCATGGGCCCACAGTGCTCCTGCTGCTGACCAGTGCTGCTCCTGCTGGCCAGTGCTCCGTCCTCCCTCACACCAGGGGCAACAGTTATATTTGCGCTTGAACACCACTAGGTGGCGCTGCTGCTGGCACGGCCCCCGTGAGGAGCAGCGCCCGGGCTCAGTCTGCAAGGCAGTTCCTTGCAGGGCCTGTGAAGCCTCAGTTCACTGCAAAAACCCCTCCCCACACACATAGCACCCCCAGCGGGGGATGGGTGGGTCGGTAGGTGGGAGCACCCAGGAGGCAGAGATGGGGGCCCAGGCCGAGAGCGGGAGAGGAGCACGGAGAGACGCCCGGGCGCACGTGCAGAGAAGGGTGCTCTGTGCATCCTCGGCTCGGGGAACTGCATCGCGTCTCGCGTCTCTCTCTCGGCAACACGCGTATGTGTGTGGAGGGGAAAGGTGCACCTGTACTTGGAGTTCGGGGTGTTGTGGCAATGCCAGGGTTCAAGGGGGTCACGGGCACAGAGACCCTCTGAAGGGGTGCGAGGGTGGGACCAGCAAGCAAGACACCTGGCGCTCTACAGACCTGGGTGGGTGGATGGGTGGGTGGGTGGGTGGATGGATGGACGGATGGATGGATGAGTGAAGGGACGGATGGATGAGTGAAGGGATGGATGGATAAAGGGATGGATGGATGAATGAAGGGATGGATGGATGGATGAAGGGATGGATGACTGAAGGGATGGATGGATGGATGGATGGATGAGGAAGGGATGGATGGATGAGTGAAGAGATGGATGGATGACTGAAGGGATGGATGACTGAAGGAATGGATGGATGAGTGAAGGGATGGATGGATGGATAAAGAGATGGATGGATGAGTGAAGGGATGGATGAAGGGATGGATGGATGAGTGAAGAGATGGATGGATGAATGGATGAGTGAAGGGATTGATGGATGAGTGAAGGGATGAATGGATGAGTGAAGGGATTGATGGATGAGTGAAGGGATGAATGGATGAGTGAAGGGATGGATGGATAGATGAGGAAGGGATGGATGGATGAGTGAAGGGATGGATGAATGAGTGAAGGGATGGATGGATGAGTGAAGGGATGGATAGATGGATGAGTGAAGAGATGGATGGATGGATGAGTGAAGGGATGGATGGGTGAGTGAAGGGATGGATGAGTGAAGGGATGAATGGATGAGTGAAGGGATGGATAGATGGAGTAGTGAAGGGATGGATGGATGAGTGAAAGGATGGATGCATGGATGGATGAGTGAGGGGATTGATGAGTGAAAGGATGGATGGATGGATGGATGGATGGATGAGGAAGGGATGGATGGATGACTGAAGGGATAGATGAGTGAAGGGATGGATGGATGAGTGAAGGATGGATGGATGAAAAGATGGATGAATGGATGAGTGAAGGGATGGATGGATGGATGAGTGAAGGGTTGTATGGATGGATGGATGTGTGAAGGAATGGAAGGATGAGTGAAGGGATGGATGGATGAGTGAAGGGATGGATGGATGAGTGAAGAGATGGATGGATGGATGAGTGAAGGGATAGATGGATGAGTGAAGGGATGGATGGATGGATGACTGAAGGGATAGATGAGTGAAAGGATAGATGGATGACTGAAGGATGGATGGATGAAAGGATGGATGGATGGATGAGTGAAGGGTTGTATGGATGGATGGATGTGTAAAGGAATGGAAGGATGAGTGAAGGGATGGATGGATGAGTGAAGGGATGGATGGATGAGTGAAGAGATGGATGGATGGATGAGTGAAGGGATAGATGGATGAGTGAAGGGATGGATGGATGGATGACTGAAGGGATAGATGAGTGAAAGGATAGATGGATGACTGAAGGATGGATGGATGAAAGGATGGATGAATGGATGAGTGAAGGGATGGATGATGAGTGAAGGGATGGATGGATGGATGACTGACTGAAGGGATGGATGAGTGAATGGATGAATGGATGAGTGAAGGATGGATGGATGAAAGGATGGATGAATGGATGAGTGAAGGGATGGATGAATGAGTGAAGGGATAGATGGATGGATGGATGACTGAAGGGGTAGATGTGTGAAGGGATAGATGGATGAGTGAAGAATGGATGGATGAAAAGATGGATGAATGGATGAGTGAAGGGATGGATGGATAAGTGAAGGAATGGATGGATGGATGAGTGAAGGGTTGTATGGATGGATGGATGTGTGAAGGAATGGAAGGATGAGTGAAGGGATGAATGAATGAGTGAGGGGATGGATGGATGAGTGAAGAGATGGATGGATGGATGAGTGAAGGGATGGATGAATGAGTGAAGGGATGGATGGATGAATGAGTGAAGGGATGGATGGATGAATGAGTGAAGGGATGGATGGATGAATGAGTGAAGGGATGGATGGATGGATGACTGAAGGGATAGATGAGTGAAAGGATAGATGGATGAGTGAAGGGATGGATGAGTGAAGGGATGGATGGACGGAGGAGGGGATGGAGGCAGTGACGCAAGGACCCATTTCCCGGCTCCCTCTCTGCTGAGCCGCACCGAACGGGCCCAGGCACGGGGCGCAGACGCGAGTGTGGGGCCCTGGGTGGGGGCCCGGGGCCCCGGCCGGACTCACAGCTGCACGAGGAAGGGGTGTCTGGCCTCCTGCAGCACCGACTTCTCGTTCTGCACGTGCTGCTGCTGCTTGAGGCGGATGACGTCGGGGATACTCATGACCTTCAGCGCGAAGTAGCGGGACGACGTCTTGTCCCTCACCAGCTGCACCCGGCCGAAGGTGCCCGTGC